TCAGCCTAAGGTCTACACCGTTGTGAGGTGTTGTCCACTCTGACCTTTTTGGCCTCACAGTTTTATCCCACAAAAGGCATCTCATAAGGAGAAGGTGGTGTGAACCCATATATATCTTAAGACCAACTCTAGTATAACTTGCAGAGGAGTGAAGCAACAAACTAGAGTCCTTTTGAGATTGTGACAGGTTAGCAATTGCTAACACCAAGTTCGATTGCTGCAGGTTATGCAGGGCCTAATCTAGTAGTGTACAAGTTTGCCAAGGCTTGGCAGGAGCAAGTCGACTTGACTAGAGTTTGTCTACACAAAGCCGCGAAGAGGTTAAAGAAGTGGGCAGACTAAAAAAGGCGGGACATACAATTTCAAGTAAAGGACTTAGTTTTAGTGAAGCTGCACCCCATTGCACGCCACAAAGAGCTGCATAAAGGCTTAGTCCACAAGTATGAGGGACCTTTCAGAGTTCTTAAAAGGGTAGGCAAGGTTGCCTACAAGTTAAATATGTCACCTAAGCTGAGGGTACATCTGGTGTTGTATGTTAGCATGCTCAAGCCGTTCCATGAGGATGAGAGAGATCTAAGATGGGCAAAGTAATAGTTTGCACTATTGGGACCCAGGGCCTCATATGAGAGGGAGGTTTAGGGCATTTTTGCTTATTGAAAGGTGAGATAGAAAAATTATCAGCCAATACAACAGTACTTGGTGCATTAGAAGGGACTTTCAGACAGTAAAGCAAGTTGGAAACCAGTAGAGGACTTATGACAATTCCAAAACTAGATCAGGTAGTTCTACACAGAAGACACAATGAGGACATTACGTAATCATGTGGGAAAGAATGTCACGCCTTAGGCGAGTGCACTAGGCACCCAAGCCGAAGCACTAAGGGCCAAGGCTCAAGCATCAGAGACAATTGTAGGGGTTGGCACAATAAGCATAAGAGAAGTGTCTAGACTGCTTGCATAACATACAGGCTTGTCCACATAGCCAGGACCAGGCCCACAACATGCTTACACCTCACCTAGGTAGACCCAGGGGAGCCTGGTCGATCCAGAATCTTTCAGAGATTGGTAACATTTAGTAAGAGGATCTAGTTGACACTGAAAATCAAGAATAGCCTCATGTAATCTATGTAATAATGTGTAATCCTTAATTTTTAAGAATCTTGTAAATCTTTTTATTTAGGTGATAGCCATAAATAGAGCTGAAGGGCTTCAATTATAAATAAAGGGTTGCCCCACCTTTAGTTGTACATCAATAGACATACTTATTTCAGTAATACACAGAACATATTCCATCATTCTATTGTGTTCTCTAACTTGCGTATTCCACCATTTCTTGTTCTTGTTTGCCCGTATGCTAGTTGCATAGGCTAAACTTAGCCATACGAAGTTAATTCTAAGTTTTAAGGCCACATGGATTCAAGCTTAAGTCCAGAGCCTATGACACAGGGATTACCTTCATTTTTTTTTTAAATTTTTACATGGAAGAAAAGTGTAAATAAAATAAATTGCATTAAAAAACAACAACAACAACAACAACAACAACAATAATAATAATAATAATAATAATTTATGACATGAAAAATCAAATTACATAAAATTAATTTTAGCATAAAAATTTAAACATTAAATAAATTATAATGCATAAGATTTCATCTTTAATTAAGTAAGAAATAAATAAGCATGGACATGTATTATACGAAATATGCATAAAACATATCAAGGACAAACATACTTTCTATCTCATGCTTTGGAGTTTTCTCATGTCAATGAATAAAATTGACAAAAACAAATAAACCTTTTTAGACCTCTACTTTATTCATGCTATTTTTCATTACTCTGAATTTGACAATACAAAGAGGAAAGCATACTAATGGACAATAGCCCTTTCTTCTACGCTTAGACATTATTGTTGCCTTGTAAGACTCTTAAAATTCCTAAGGTTTTGGACTTCAGCATTTGCGTATTTCTTGTTTTAGCATAAAAAAAGCCATTCTTTCATCCTAATAAAGCACAAAAACATGGATGACCAACCTTCGAATGTGAAGCCCTTATAGGAAAGATGACATATAAGGACAAGGATCAAAACTTTAAGCCTCCATGCATCAACACAAACCCTATGCATAGATAAGGGTTATTAGACTAAGAATGAGTGAAATTTACAGCCCCCATAACGGGACCATACAAAGAGGGGGGAAAAAGAACCAAGTGTGCTAAAACATGGCAAATTTTAAAGTTTGAATAATAGCCTTATAGGTGTCCAAACCCAACGAATGTGAAAAATGGGAAACCTTAGGTTTTTATCAACAAGTCACAATAAAAAAAAAAAAGAGAAAGAATTAACCCAAGCTTGTTAGACCCAATGAGCATAAAGAAAAAGATAAACTTCTGCTAACCAACTAAAGAAGAAAATTGCAACCAGTAGAAGAAAGTTACACTTCAAAAACATATATATATACACACACACACAAACAATGGGTTTTCATTCCTATTATTAGAGATCAACTCATTTCCACTTTTAAGAGTAGAAAGTGTTTGTAAAATATGAATCCAGCTCCTATAAATTATCATTTTATCTGGTTGTTATCCATTTTTATTCTATTTTAGTGAGTCCTTTATAAAGTCAATTTAAATTTTTATTCATTATACGCCTAGCACCATATACCAACTATATGTGGAAAATAACAATGAATATAGGAACTGCAAAACTCAAGGTCTACATGAGTGAATAGTGCACGACACATCCTAGGATTACACTAGCCTTGACGCAATAAAAGAAAACCTATAACCATGTCATGGACTAAAGCCATAAGCTTCTGTGAATCTGAAAACTAAGACAACCTACATGAGATAATAAAACATGGAACTTCTATGAACCCACCACCCAAAATAGCAAACAAAAGAACACATAAGAACAAGAAAGGTTTCAACTTTCATACAAAACCTATATCGAAATGAACATGCAAAAAAAAGGACCACATGACAGGACTAATAATCTTTCAAACCATTTTTCTTAATCTCACATGGAAGAACATGAATATCTAAAAGGTTTAGGAAGACTACCTTCTCTCCAATTTCCTCAAGAGTTTTGTATTCTTTTCTCCTTTTCAACCAAGTTTTCCTTTCTTCCTTTGCTTTCTTTTTTTGTTATCCCGAAAACTTCTTTTCCTTTTTCCTTTGTGTTCCTCTTTAACTCCCCCATAAACTTTCCCTTCGAAAATCTATATTTTTCCAAGAGCCCCCTCTTTTTCTTGTAAAAAAGAAAACCACTAAAATGTCTTTGAAAGATTAAATATAAGCCTTTAGATCAAATCTCATCCAAGGACCAAAGTTTCTCTCTTTTTTTTTTTCAATGAGCAATCTTTAGCCATTAGATCAAGATTCAATAGGAGATCTACTGGTCCACATTATTCATTACAAATGTTGAATTTCTATAGCTCTTAAACCAAATGAAAAAATCATTTTGCCCTTAGTATAAAGTTTTCAGTATTTAGACCATTTTTATAGAATCAATATTCTCATGCTTATTTTTTAGATTTTAAAGCACCAAAACTCATGAAATATTATAATTGAGATCTGACAAGTTTCATGAAAATCTAAGCTTGAAAAAGCCAGTTACGAAAATACTATTAAGGGGTATTTTGATATTTTCGTAATTTTATATCTCTTAGGGTACTACTGTGATTTCAAATGCACAAAAAAAATCATGAAATATTATGAAATTGAGATCTAAAAAGTTTCATAAAAAAAAGACCCCGAGCAAGTCAAATTATGAAAATTCTCCTAAAAGACTTTTTAGTAATTTTGTATTTCTCCAAATGCAATAAAATTTTTTAATGTTTTTAAAAATCATCAATTTTAACTTTAAACCACATTGATTCCAATTAAGTTGTGAATTTTAAAAATCATCCCGGCTTTTATTCATTTTAACAAAGTTTTATATAATTTTGACTTTTTTAACTAATTTTAATTTTATTAACCAAGTTTGATCGAATTTGACTCAAGTTGATTTTGAAGTTTACTCACTTAATTTATTCTTTATTTTTCATGCATCCATGTGAAAAGTTAGTCTTTGTATAAATCCCATACAAAAGAATTTGGCAACAACCTTACGAGTCTCCTTTTCCTTTGTTTATTATAAGTCTAAATATCAATACATTTTACAAACTCTTAAAAGTGGATTTTTTTATGGGCTTCAAATGGCCTTTGTTTAGGCTTGTAATTAGGTCTCTAAATTGTTTATGTAATGATTCTAAATTAATGATTCCAGCTTATGTTCGCAAATAGATCCGGATAAATTATATTAAAAAATATATATTTTGGACAAAATTTGATATATATATAAATACCACCCACAAGTGTGCCTGTCATTGTGAGAGAATATCGAAGAGAACACCTGTGGTCCTAGATGGCTTGTAAATGGATCGCTGAGGCTTCTCAACAATTTTGCTCATGTTGTAGATCATCGTTCTGGTCAATCTCAACGGAACGATAAGAAGAGAAATTTCTTATCACATGTTTTCATATTCCTTTGTTTTTTTCTTCCTCATGGAATAAAGCTATAGGTTCACATGGCTTCTCCGTTTTTATTTTTATTTTTTTAAACCTGACTCAGTGAAGAGTGCGATCCTTTCGCCTCTCTCGGGTCAGAAGTATGATGCAATCTCATTTCTTGTAGCAAGTTTTGAGGTTCAAGGATGATTTTTGCAGCAGATTTGACGATTTTCTTCCAAAAGAATGGATTTTTGCTTCAACTTCTAATACCACAATGATTGTGATTATTGATGCTCATATTTAGCTACTGTAACAACTTACTAATTTTGCTATGCAAGAATAGTCAGAAGGTTAGGTGCTTTCTTATACATTGCATTTTTAAAACGGTTTAATCCACGTAAAGCTTGTTCTCTAAGCCAGTGAAGTCGTTCTTGCTTGTTTAAAATGGTTTAATCTCTGTTTCTGTTTCAAAAATAATATTATTAAAGATTTATTATAGAACAAAAAGTATTGAAAAAGAACCTTATCTTTTGGTATGTTTATCCTAAAAAGAAAAAAGGGGAAAAATTGCAAAATCAGCAATGTCAACCAACAGAGAGAAGAAGATGCTATAACTTTCACAATGAAAGTATCCTGTCTTTGGAAATCTGAAAACCGTTTTAACGCTCGAAAGCAATGAATCTAAGGCTGAATTACAACAAAAGAAAAACGAGACATGAGTAAACATTAGACAACAACCAACTCTCTAACTTCTGCCGCAGATGAACATGTAATAGTTTTCAGATTTCATTACTGATGCAACAAGCTCATCCTTCACTTCTTTCCGAGTAGAGCATACAGCTATCACTCACCTGGAATTACAGGGAAACACATTTTACCTATTCCACTACTCCCCTGTGGGAATCAATTTTGCCATTCACAGGAGTGAGTGTAGCAAGAATGACAAAACCACCCAGAACAACAATCAAAATACCCAAAGAGTTTACAAGCAATGCCTCAGTAGAGTAGCGCGATATTACCCTGTTAGTTTGAAGAAAAGTAAGCTTCTCTAAGATACCCGTAGTAGCGGTAGCAACAGTGAGGGCATATGTATACATCCCAAAGAAAACATGCCATGGCAGCAAGGCAGATCTGCTGTTTCTTGAGCCACCTGGGTACCAAAAGGTTGCAAAGCCAGCAGCCCACTGTCCAGAAGACATTTAAACCAAAACAAGAACATCATTAAGAACCACACAACTTGACAAAAATGGAGCAAAAATTCACTACAAAGGAAACAGAATAGTAACACAGACCTGGATGCCAAATAAGAAAAGGCAAGCTAGGCCCAACCAAGAGTGAAGACTGTAAAAGTTGTCAATGCCCTTATCATTGTGGAACTTCAAAGCAGCCCATACGCCAATAATACTCAAGATAAAAGCAAGACACTGTATACTAAGATGAACTAATTTTTTGAAGCTTTTTGTCCCTGGAACAGTCTTGTATGCCAGAATGGCTGCATAAGTCATACCATACAAGAGTAATGAAAAGATGGTAAAGATAGTAACCTCATTCAAAATTCCATAAAATTCTGCATTCACAATTCTCCAATTGTAGAATTAACTTTACTGCAAGAGGCATTATTTCATGGCTTAGGTCACAAGACATAAAATAAGGACAACATTTTTACCCATGCTTTTGGCAGATCAAAGAAGATAAATGCATAAGCAGATAATAATTTATCAGGAATTTGCCTACCGCTCCAGAACCATGGAAAAGGGTAAATGATCCTAAATGGCATTCAATCATGCAGCAAGCATTTGGCCCAGTCAGTTGTGTACCAAAAGTTGTCAATAAAAAGAACACATAAAGTTTTATCTAACATCGAAGACAACTAGATAAGGGTAATGCGCGACTCAACTAAAAGGAATTCAAATCAAGATGAAGGCTTTATAGAAACCCGTAACATGTTGAGGTTGCATTATCTTATTGGGTCCATATCACCTACAATTATTTGTATACAATTACAGAACCTTGGCCATCCAAGAATGTGGCTTCCTTGTGGACCCCCATACGTAGATGGTTGAGATACAAGTTGCATACAACTGTAGTAAAAATTTTTTGGAAGTACAAATGCCATATTATTCATTTTTTAATTCCAAAAGCTGGCAGAAATATCCCTTAAAATCTCTTTACAAGCCCAACGGCAACACCTCATTAAAAAAAAAAAAAAGATTCAACAGCTTGAAGCTAGGTTACCACATCAAAATGAATTATAATAACAGCATCACTTCTAAAGATCACTATTTAGATGATGCTTCCTTTAAGAAACTGAGTTTTGAATTAAACTTTATGACAGGATATTGAAGCAATAAGGGAAGAGGAAAATGACACCCTGCCAATCCAAGGGGAAAAAGTGAATGAAACTTAATTTAGTTTCTTCCTACTTGGAAGAAGAAGCAAACTTATACTTCTTGTGAAACCAGAAAATAGACACTTATAGTATCCAGAAATATCTTCTACCTAATAGGAATAACAGCTTTTGGTGAGGCACAAAGAAAGAAAGGGGGAACCATCTCAAGTGTAATGGTACCATCTTAAGCACTCAGAAACTCTCAAAATACTTTAAGCGTCTCCACCACTGTAGCAACAACATTTCAAATTTCAATTCTTAAGAACCTCTATAAACCTATCAGTGACAACAAAGGATAAGCCCTTCGTAAACTCCCAAGTTCGACTTGCATCAGTGTTTTTAATCCCGTATAATTGATGTAATTTAATCTGATAAATTGAAAATAATAATCTCACAAGGACCAGTGTAGAACTTTAAAGGAGATGGGGTGGATACATATAAATAAAAGTTGCAGCATCTAGAACATCCTTAGAACGATGAGAAATGACATTCACCTTCGCCATTTAAGAGAACTAGTCCAATGACCATTAAAACGGGATGCACCTGCAATAAGTACACAGCAACAATTAGTTTTTTTGAAATGGAAAGAAAAACACTCCTCTTCATAGGTTGAATTAAGAAAGACAACAAATAAAGGTCCATTATGGTGTTGCTTTTATTACTTACCTTTTACTATGTTATAAAGTCAAACATAATTTTAATTGATTAAAAAGGAAGAAGAGACTTAGATATAGTATCAATTCTAACATAAATTGTTCAGTACATAAATAAAAGATTATGTATATTCTTCTCCACAGAAATTACATTTTTTATTTTTATTGCTAAAAAAATTGCTTGCTTTTATATCCAAACAGGCCTTCTGCTTTTTGCTTCCAAAAGGGGAAAAAAAAAACAGCAAGAGCAATAACAAAATTCGGCATTGGATTACTCAATTATACAATTGAGCACTGTGAAGAGTATTCCCTGTAGTTGAGACAAATAACACCATTAATTTCTAATATATCCGTAATTTTCCAGTAATAAATTATCACCTAATTCAGATTAGAAGGTAAAATGGCAACAAGATCATTGGATCACCATATAACCGAAAACAAAAAACAAAAAAATGCCAACAACCCATTAAAGAAAAATCAAAACCAAGTAACTGGGAGACAAATTAAAAGAAATTTTCTTGCTTCTCTACTTTAGAAAAATAAAAAAAAAAAAAAGAGAAAAGAAAAGCCAAAGAGGGAAGAGATTACATTGAAGATGAGATCTTTGTTATCAGAGATGAGAGCCAATCCTCCTCTGTAATGAAGAGTCCATGTGAAAACAAGAGCTGTTATTACAAGTCCTAATACTCTAACTACCATAACGATTGGAAATTTGATCACTGGAACCCCCATTTCTTTACCAGAAGAAAGAGAGACAGACAAAAAAAGGGCAAATATATGTTTTTTTTTTTTTTAAGGTTTAAGAGATGGGATTTGTCAGAAGAACAAGAAATTTGGAGACTTTTGGTTTCAATGAAGACAAGATGACTCGCCTTTGTTGAATCTGTAAGGAAGAATAGATGAGAGAGAGAGAGAGGCTTCGGAGTTACTCGACTTTCGGAGTTTCAACTGAGGGCCAGCGCTTGACAAAAATAAAATAACATGACTGCCAGCATTATACCCTAATCATGTGGCGCCACCTGGCCTCAACGTTTCCTTTACAATATTTTATTAAAAATGGGAATATTGAGGTCCTAAAATAATTTTTTTTTTTTTAACATCTATTACTTTTATTTTTTATTTCAAATTGATTTTTAAAATTTTTTGTTACTTTTTGATAATAAAAATGTTATAATAATATTATAAAAATTAAATTTATAGCAATAAATAAACAAAAATCAAAAGTTTTTTTTTGGCTAATCCGCAAGTCAAAGTTTTCAGCTTTTTGATTTATTAATTAAAAAAAAATTTTAAAAACAGATGTAAAATAGAAGTTTGAATCTCAGTATTCTCATTTTTTGTGGCTTATCTGATCCTATGAATAAAAATAAAAGACAAAAACAACATGACGGAGGGATTATCATTTTTCACTTCGATAGCTACCAAAGTTAGTCAACCATTATTTAATTTTTAGGATTGATAGCATTTGTAATATTTAAATTTTGATTTAAATTTTATTTTAGTTTTTAAATTTTAAAAACTTTTAATTAAATTTTTAACTATTTGAAGTTGTCATGTTTTGATTTTTAGTTTATAAAACTACTTAAATTAATAGTAAATACCAATAAATATCACATAATGATATCAGTTAATATTTTACATGACAAATAAAAGATCAAAATAAAATTTTTTTATAGTTTAGGGACTAAAGACATAATTATCTAAAATATATATATATATATATTGCATGTCTTATAAAATATTAAATATTAAATTATATTTGTATATTTTTTGTTATACTATAACTTATTAGATAGATTTTTGTTTTAAATAAAAAATAAATATTTAAAACTTAAAATTAAGTTAAAATTTTTAAATTCATCTTTTAAAAACTTAATACATTTTTAAAACAAAAAATATTATTAAAAATATTATTTTACTCATAAGTCATAATAAACATTTTTTTTTCTATCCAAAAAATTATTTTATAAAATATTAAATATTTTTTACTTTTCCTTTTTAAATATATTTTATAAAATATGTTTTATAAAAAAGAAAAAAGAAAAAAAAATTTAATTATTTTTTATTTTATCTAAATATAAAGTTTTTAAAATTTTGAATAGATTAATAAATCTATTTTTGAAAATGATTTGAAAATTTTTACATAATATTTTAATATGATATAAAAATTTTATTTAATTTCTTAAACTGATATAAAAATTTTAATTTATTTTTGAAAATGATATGTAATTTTGACAAAATTATTTTGAAATTTTTAGCTTACTTTTAATTTTTTAAAAATCTATTTTCTGTTAAAAATATTATTTTGTTAATAACTCATATCATAATAAAAATTAAAAAATATTTTAAATTATAATATTTTATAAAATATATTTGAAATATATTAAAATCGATTTTTTCTTGAATTCTTTTATCTTTTCCTTATCTATTTTTTATAAAATATATTTGAAAAAGGAAAATAAAATATATTTAATATTATAAAATATATATTTTATGGGTAGAAAAAATATTTTTATTATTATTTATGAGTAAAATAATATTTTTAATAGAAAATAGTTTTTTTTAAATGATATTGAACTTTTAAAAATAATTTGAAATTTTAACTTTATTTTAATTTTTAAAAGCTATTTTTATTAAAAGTAAAAAATATAACTAATAAATTATATTACAACAAAAAATATAAAATATAATTTTAAATTTAACATTTTATAAAATATATATGAAATTTATAAAATTTTTTAGATAGTTTCTTTTTTGGTCTCTAAACTTTGAGAAAATTCTATTTTAGTTGTTTATCTACCACATGAGATGCTAGCTGATGTCATCATGTGGTGTCAACTAGCATTTGTCATCGATTTAGATAATATTATAGACAGAAGGATCAAAATAGGATAATTTTGAGCAATTAGAGATTCATTTAAAACTTTTTAAAGTTTAAAAACCAATATAGAATTTAAGTCAAAATTTAGAGATTATAAATGCTATTAACTCTAATTTTTACTATAATTTTTTTAAAAAAAATTTATAAGTTTTCATCAATTTTGTTAGGTTAAACATTTATATGATTTTAACTTTAATTTAATTACTAATTTAGAATTAACTCAAATAATAGGTACGCTTATCAGGTAATTAAAAAATTGAAAGGATTTAGAAAAAATAATATGCATATTCATTAAATTTTTTAATATTATTGGTTTTAGAGAATTTAGATACATATCGTCCTATTCACATAAAGATTAAATAGACAAAAATTGAGAACTTAACAATAAATTAACAATTAAAAATTAATTTAACTTAATTAATTATTAAATTATACTAAAAACTAAAATTTCTAATAACAAAAGAAAATGAAAATTGTAAAAACTCTTGAATTAATCCCCATCCTTTCTCATAAAAAAGAACCAAAAACCTCTCTTTCTTTTTAATGAATACCCACTATGTAGACACCCTATTATCCGAGATTTAAAATTCATTTTTATTTTATTTATAGTTTATTTATCTTTAATAAAAAAATATTTTGTCATGAGAAAAATTGGTATTATAAGAATTATAGTTGGATTCAATTTTCAGAAGATAAAATTTTAGTTTAATGATAATACAAAAATCTGATCAAAGATAGAATCACAGTCAATCAAAAACTCCTCTAAGTGTTCCTATAAATAAACATACAAATCATCAAAAAAGAACATGCTCGAAAGGGTAAAATATTAAATTTTAAATCATATTTGCATATTTTTTGTTATAATATAACTTATTAGATAGATTTTTGTTTTAAATAAAAAAAATTCAAAACTTAAATTAAGTTAAAATTTTTAAAATTTTCTTTTAAAAATTTAATACATTTTAAAAACAAAAAATATTATTAAAAATATGATTTTACTCATAAGTCATAATAAAACATATTTCTCTATCCAAAAAATATTTTATAAAATATTAAATGTTTTTTATTTTTCCTTTTTAAATTATTTTATAAAAAAGAAAAAAATAAAAATGTTTTAAATTATGTTTTATTTTATCTAAATATGAAGTTTTATATTTTTTAATGGATTAATAAATCAAATTTTGAAAATGATTTGAAACTTTTTATATAATATTTTAACATGATATAGAGCTTTTATTTAATTTCTTAAACCAATATAAAAAATTTTACTTAATTTTTTAAAAATAATATGTAATTTTACCAAAATTATTTTGAAATTTTCAATTAAATTTATATATTTTATGGATAGAAAAAATATTTTTATTATAATTTATGAGTAAAATAACATTTTTAATAGAATTTTTTTTTTTGTTTTAAAATGATATTGAACTTTTAAAACATAATTTGAAATTTTAAGTTAATTTAATTTTTTAAAAGCTATTTTATTAAAAATAAAAAATATAACTAATAAATTATATTACAACAAAAAATATAAATATATAATTTTAAATTTAATATTTTATAAAATATATATGAAATTTATAAAATTTTTCAAATAGTTTCATCTTTTGTTTCTAAACTTTGAGAAAATTTTATTTTAATTCTTTATCTGTCACATAAGATACTAGCTGATGTCATCACATGGTGTTGGCTAGCATTTACTATCAATTTATACGATTTTATAGATAGAAGTATCAAAATAGGACAATTTTGAGCAATTAGAAATCCAATTAAAACTTTTTAAAGTTTAAGAATCAATCTAGAATTTGGATCAAAATTTATAGATTATAGGTCCTATTAACCATAATTTTTATTGTAACTTTTTTTAAAAATTTTTTTATAAGTTTTCATCAATTTTGTTAAGTTAAACATTGTTATGATTTTAATTTTAATTTAATTATTAATTTAGAATTAACTCAAATAATATGTACGTTCGTCAGGTAATTAAGAGATTGAATGGATTTAGGAAAAATAATATGCATATTCATTAAACTTTTGAAAATTATTGGTTTGAGAGAATTTAGATACATATCGTCCTATTCACAAAAGATTAAATGGATAGAGATTGAGAAATTGATAATAAATTAAGAATTAAAAATTAATTTAACTTAATTAACTATTAAATTATACTAAAAACTAAATTTTCTAATAACAAAAGAAAATGAAAATTGTAAAAACTCTTGAATTAATCCCCATCTCTCTCATGAAAAAGAACCCAAAATCTCTCTTTCTCTTTAATGAATACCCATTAGGTAGACACCTTATTTGTCTGAGGTTTAAAATTTATTTTTATTTTATTTATAATTTATTTATCTTTTCAGTTTAATAAAAAAATATTTTGCTGTAAGAAAAATGAGTATTATTAGAATTATAATTGGATTCAATGTGTTGTGGATAAAATTTATCAAAGATGGAATCACAGTCAATCAAAAACTCCTCTAATTGTTCCTATAAATAAACATACGAATCGACAGAGAAAAACAGGTTCGAAAGGGTGCAATATTAAATTTTAAATCATATTTGCATATTTTTTTTATAATATAACTTATTAGATTGATTTTTTTAAATAAAAAATAAATATTCAAAACTTAAAATTAAGTTAAAATTTGTAAATTCTTCTTTTAAAAACTTAATACATTTTAAAAACAAAAAATATTATTAAAAATATTATTTTACTCATAAGTCAAAATAAAACATTTTTTTTCTATCCAAAAAATTATTTTATAAAACATTAAATATTAGATATTTTTACTTTTTAAATATATTTTATAAATTTGTTTTATAAAAAAGAAAAGAGAAAAATGTTTTAAATTAATTTTTTGTTTATCTGAATATAAATTTTTTATATTTTTGAATAGATTAATAAATCTATTTTTGAAAATGATTTGAAAATTTTTACATAATATTTTAACATGATATAGAGTTTTTATTTAATTTCTTAAACCAATATAAAAAATTTTACTTATTTTTTTAGAAATGATATGTAATTTTAACAAAATTATTTTAAAATTTTCAACTTAATTTTAATTTTTT